ACACTCCTGGACAGAAGGTGTGGCTCTGGGCCAAAGATCTGCCCCTCCAGGTGGAGTCTAAAAAACTAGCCCCCCGCTTTGTCAGACCCTCTGAGGTGAAGTCAGTGATTAACCCCCGGCTGAAACTCTCCCGCTACATGCAGGTGCTCACGTCTCTCAGCTCAAACCCGTTCAGGAGAGCCCGTTGGTGCCCCCCGTCCCTTTGACGCCACCACCTAGGATCCTGAAGGACAACCCTACATATACAGTCAGGTAGACTGTTGGATGCGCACCACCGTGGCAGGGGTGTGCAGTACCTCATGGACTGGGAGGGCTACGGACCTGAGGAATGTTGCTGGGTTCCCCGCCGGCAGATTCTGATCACCGACTTTTATTTGGTTTACTGATCATGTAAACTTGGAGTTTCATATTATTCATGTTCCCGTTTATCTACATTTTTAAAGTCAACTACTGTAACTACTCCTACTAAAATAAAGGCCCCACATCATACAGATGAGCTTAGAACATTTATTTTACCTCAGTCTTGTCAGCAGACACTGTGAAAACTACAAGAAATAAGGGTCATACAAAAAAATATTTTAAATATGCACTATTCAGTAATTTTTAAAAAAGTTTCCCAAATAAAGTGTCTCCAACTACACCGACTCAAACAGTAAGGCTCGCAAGCTGGTTTAAGTTGATACACAGGTCCAAATATGCCAGCTTGCATCATGCACTTCACCATCCATATAAAAGCACTTTGACAAATATTACAAAAAAAAAAATTAAACAAATAAAAGTTAAAAGTCACAAATACTGTGTGCTGTGTAGTTATCTTGGGCCATGTTGTTCCTCTGCAGCCTTATTGCATCTGAGCCATAATCCTACAGGTGTGCCCCTTCACTAAACCGTGGTCATGTGACCGGTTACGTACTTTATTGGAATAAATAACTTCAGAGTTGTAAATTTCTAAATTACATTTTTTTTTTTTTTTTTACATCTTATTGCACTTTTAATCAACCTCCACGACCACATGAATTCAAACCTTAATGAAATAATGACATAAAATATAAGAACAAACCTTTTGTAAAAATCTCAGTAAGACCTGCCTTTAGGACAGTTACAGCTACAATATCTGTAAAGTGTGTGACAGGCAAGAGAGCCTATAAAAACAAAAACTACTCCTTTATAGCAATCAGCTTGTAAAGGAGACGTTCTGGTTAATGTAGAACGAAGAGCAGGTAAAATAATGAAGATTGCAGACTGAAAACATTTTTTGGCACAATACCTCTATTAATCTGCACCATTGTTGTGCCATAAAGTGATCGTCTGCCAAAAAGTGATTAAAGTCTGTTGGAGCAGTTATCTTTTTTTTTTTTTCCCCTTCTTAACCTGCTTGTGGCCTGAATTATAACCAATCCAGTTGCTTTTACCTGCTGAAATTGCTTAAAAAGACTTATTCTACTCGTGTAAAGCAGTTTTGCATTTGCCAAATTGTGAGTGTAGCTTCAACATTGTGACAGAAATGACTGATTTTATTCCTGACTGTTAATTATGGTGTAAAAATTACACACCATAGCCTGAACTTTGGAACAAAAACACTAGAATATTGAATATAATGCATCTTAAATGTCAGGCCTGATTACTCTATAAGTGATGAAAACTTTAAGGATTCACAAAAGACACACTTTTGCTGTGACCACAGAAATAAAATGTGTCTTTGAACGTTATGACTGTTTGATCCAGATGAAAACAGCTGTGAACTTATTGAAAACTGCACAAAACAGCTTTAACATGAAGCAATCAGTTCTTGGCAGAATCTCCCTTTTTGACACATCACCTGGTACATGGTTGGGTAACTCAGTACCGTTCAGCTCTTTGTCTACAATAATAAAACAGGCACACACAATAAAAAACAAACAACTCTTAAATAACCTGAGCTCATGACAGATGAATCAGCTGACAGTCACTGTGCAGACTTCCTGGCAGCTAGGTGGCAGAGATCAGCTCTCTCCTCGGTCTGCTCCCCCTGCAGGAGGACGCTCCGGTACCGGGGCTCAGCTCCTCGGTGCAGGCGGCACTTTGCACCGGGCAGGGCAGGTCGGGTCTCTCGGTGTCGGGACAGTTTCAGCGACGAGCCAGCGGTTTGTAAACGCAGACAGCCATGATGATCATGAGCAGCAGCAGCACCGCCAGCACAGTCCCCAGAGTGACTGTAGGGACACAGGCAGGATCAGCAGGTTAACAGGCGGCTGGATTAACTGCAGGTGATTCTGCTGTTTTATCAGCAGGTTAATGTCTCTGTAGGATAAAGACAAGGCCCCAAACTGCAGCCTGTAAACACCTTACAGGAGCCTTTATGTCAGCATCACTGACAGGCCTCACATCAGAGTCACAGCCTCACGTTAAGCCTCACCTAAATTCTGCTTCTGCAGGACCACATAGGCTCTCTCGGTCAGCTTGTCCTCCGACTGAGCGCTGACCAGCACATTGAAACACATGATTACAGCTGCTGGGATGAGCTGCAGCATCATAGCGGTGGATCCTGGAGGATGAGGATGGTGGTGATGATGATGATGATGATGGGCGTGAGGCGTTGCTGCTTCCGCTCGAGGATCTGGGTCCTAATGCCGGTGAGTTGTCGGATCAGTAGAAATAACTAATCAAATGATTTGACTTTTTAAAAATGTTTTTAGAATTGATTAATAATTTAGGCCATTTTATTGTGCAAATCAGTGATTTCCTAGGAAGTAGTTCTGGAGAAAACGTTGTTTGTCTAAGTAAATATAGATGATACCTGTGTGTTACCATTTAAAAGCCAAATGATGTTAAATCGTATCACCTTACAATAATTGCATCACTTCTAAATTAAACAGCAGGGTCTTCCTGATTCACTGTATTAAAAATTCAGGCCCCTCAATGCAACACAAGTCAGTGCACCTACACATTATTCTGATATACAGGCGTCCTCAAATGTAGTCATACTCTTCCATTAAAGAAAAGGCAAAATTCACAATAATAACTCAAATAACAAGAAACTGAAAAACGTAATGATAAATAAAAATTTGCTAAATTATAATTTAGTGAAATCAGACATTGCTTTTTAACTGTGGTTGAAAAGAATAATTTAACAAAATAAATAAAACTGACAAATTATATATATATATTTATAACTGGTTCACCACAAAGACATGTCTCTGAACTGTATAACTGGTCTGTGATCAGGAAAAGCCATCCTGATCACAGAGGACCCCTCTCACCCCCTCCATCACTCCTTCCAGCTACTTCCATCAGGCAGACGTTACAAAGTTCTACTGGCCTACAAAAACATCTATGAAAAATCCTTTATTCCCACTTCAATAGCCACCCTGAACAAAATGAAATAAGACACTGAACAGTACATTTTATCGGCTGCTTTTTCTTTTTAACAATTCTTTTAGACGTTCTGTCACTATTTGGGACAGACAATAAAGTCTATCTATCTATCTATCTATCTATCTATCTATCTATCTATCTATCTATCTATCTATCTATCTATCTATCTATCTATCTANTCTATCTATCTATCTATCTATCTATCTATCTATCTATCTATCTATCTATCTATCTATCTATCTATCTATCTATCTATCTATCTCTTTCTTGTGAGCAGATGCTAATTGCTGGCTTACGGGCTGCAACAATTATCAAATAATCTGCTAATTATGCTCTTAAATAGTTGATCGGTGGTTTCCTGTCTATACATTTTCACTGCTTTCAGAACCTAAAGTTACTATAGAATTGTTTTGTCCAACCAACAGTCAAAAACCAAAGTATATTCAATGTACTTTTATGGAGGATTAAGAAAAACCCGACACTGGAAGACAGAAGTTACAAAAAGTAAATACACAATCTGCAATATATGTGTTGTTTGAATTCACAAATATGCAAATGAAGCAAATGTTCATTTATATTTTACTTGGTTCTGTTATTTCAGTCAGAGAAACCAAAGATAATCTGTACAGATGTGTTCAACTTGCTACAGTGATTGAAATTATTTTTCACTCCGACTGTTTGCCTCAAAGTGTGTATTTGTGGTGTTTGTACTTGATACAATTTGATATGGTCATAAGTTCTATAACAATTAAAAGTAATAAAATTAAAATATGTACATGTGAGAAACTTGAAGCTGTGAGTTTCTTTTGCGTCTTTTGCTTTACAGATGAATTCTACAGATAATCCGATTGTCAGAATTGTTGCTGATTAGTTTATCTGTCAGTTGACTAACTGATCAGTCATCTGAGTGCAGCTGGCTGAGTGAGCTGCAGGACTTTTCTGCAGCGCTGGAAGCTGCCACAGGACACCGAAAGCTTCAGGTGTGAAAATACAAAGGGTAGAAAATCTCTTCTCTTACTGGTAACCATCAAACAAGTGTGCGGCCTCCATCACATTTCCCATTTTTGAAATGTCAAAGAGCAATGAAGAATAGATAGAAAGGTCAAGCTCCTTGAGGTTATATCCTTATGTAATTACTCTGCATGACTGATGTATATGGCCTTTATCTTCATCTTCTATAGAAGCGTGCGCATCGTTACAAACTCTTATAGCTCTTGATTACATGGCAGAGAGGCTTAATGAGCGTGAGGAAATGTCACTCACGGTGGCCTGAAATTAAAACTGGAGGCTTCCTGGACAAAATCATCACAACAAGAGAGCGTTTCATTACAGCATGGAGTCAGAAACCCTGTTTTAATTGAATATATGAAGGTTTTTACACTGAATCAACATATTTGTATAATTTGTCACTTGAACAAGCAAAGATGGACACTTGTTAGGCTTAATGAGCTAATTAAGAAAATGCATTAAGGTAAACTTATTGCGAGCATGATCCGGTGGCTCTCATTTTTTAATTTAATTTAATTTTTTTAATCAGTTACCACCAATTCATCAGTGCATTTGAACAATTTTATGACAGCAGATTTAAGTAAGCATGCCACACAAATAGCTGTTTTTCAGTGTTTAATGTCTGGAAAGTACACTGGAAACCAAGATAAATATTAACATCACATCACAATTACCCTGGACAAACCAAATACATTGTTTGATTGTTTTAGCACATGTGCTAATTCGCAACACTTGTCAACAGGAGGAAAAGAAAAAAAGAGAGAGAAAAAATACAGTGTACAGTAACATTACAACAGTGAACGAGAGGCAGTGTATCAGATTAAATACATATGTAAGCTACAGAGCAAAGGCAACATGGACAAGCAATCAACCAGTTAAAACTCTTCATGTGAGCACTGTTGTTTTGATGTTAGTTATTGTTTGAGTCCTTTGTTTAAAGCATTGCTGTTGGTCTCTTAGATTAGTGGAGAGTCCCCTTTACAGACAGAGCAGACTGACAGTATGACGTCTTGTACCTTGGGACAGGACGAGGTTGTCAAACAACTAGAAATCTCATCATACCGACCATCTCCATTCAGCTGCCTTAAACTTTTGCAGTTTTATTTGACAGTAAGAAAAATAACTTTGAAAGGCAGCTGTGTAAACTTCAAAATCAGTGCTAGTCATGTGGGAGGTTAATGAGCTATGGAGTCCTGCTGAAGCAATTATGTGTTCTGAAAGTCTAGCTGATAATAACAATACGAATATATAATGTATAATGAATATACAGAATGAAACCTAATAGGTTTGTTGTGGTGCCTGAAGGTCAAACTTTTATCTCTCTGGTGATATTATTTAACATTTACTGGTACAGAGTTGGGCTGCAACTCGGTGGTTAGCACCGTTGCCTCGCAGCAAGAAGGTTGCCGGTTCGCGTCCCGGTGAGGACACCCGGGATCTTTCTTGCATGTTCTCCCTGTGCAGCGTGGGTTCTCTCCGGGTTCTCCAGCTTCTTCCAACAAGGTCCAAAAACATGTTGAGGTTAATTGGTGATTCTAAATTGCCCATAGGTGTGAATGTGAGTGTGCTTGGTTGTCTGTCTCTAAGTGTAGCCCTGTGATAGACTGGTGACCTGTCCATGGTGTCCCCTGCCATCGCCCTAAGTCAGCTGGATAGACTCCAGCCCCCCATGACCCTCATGAGGATTAGGTGGTGTATAGATGATGGATGGATGGATGGAATTTGTAACCTCCATCTTCCTGCATTAAGGTTTCTCTCAGGTGATTTCTTTCCTTCTGGTATTTATGCAGATTAGATGGGCGTCTCTTAAAGCTGCCCATCGGTGTGGATGTGAGCAGAGGTCAAGTATGTAAAAAAAAAAATCAGTCTGCTTCTAGGAATCAATTGATGTCATTTTGGATCTTAATATCAATATATATCATGAGAAACAACTAAATCTCTTCATAAAAATAACCACGCAGGTATATTATGTCTGTTTTTTTTGCACATCCACCAAATACTTTTTGCATTATGAATCTCTTACAGATCATCAAATTTATTCAAAAGATTATCCAATATTGCCGTGTCATTGTTCCTGTTACCTTTACAACACAATCTAGAGTTACCTGATACTCCCAGATATATGGCAGGAAGAAATATCGGGTTATGAAGCATGTAGAAAAATTCTAACAGTTGACATATTTATTGTCGCTCATCATAAAGTTAATTAGATCAGCAAAAACCACAACTGTTTTCAAATGGAGGCCTAAATGTGAATCACCTGGTTACAAGTGAGCTCATTGAGATCATACAAATAAAACAGTGGAAAACCGGTAATCCATCTTTTTTTTATTACGTGTATTCACTTGCTCACCAGTCTGCTGTGTTTTGTTTTTAGAAATGTGTTAAGAAATGTATCTATTCAGTCATGTTTCCCCCCTAATACACTGTTTGTCAAGCTGTTTATGTCAGGCAGAGGAGAAACCACCTATTTAGCTCTGCTCTCTTTTATGTGTCTCCTGTGCTTGCCTGTTCTCTACTTCAATAGCAGTCACTGACACAAAAGGGCTTTGATCTGCACGTCCATCAACAAGCAGCCTCGACGCAGAATCACATGTTCGGAAGCACTTTCTGCTCTCGTGTATGTCATACCTGTCGTCCGTGAAGGGATCCGGCCTGGCCTGAATTAAAAGAATAAGTAAAGATGTGAGGGGGTTAGTAGGAATCATGTGGACGTATGATGGTGTCGGGAGCATTTGAAGGTTTGCTCTCTTTCCTTGAACTGTATGTTGATGGACTCTGGATATTGCAAATTAGCTTGTTAATTAGAATATCTAATAGAGGTGAGCAGCAACAGCCAACAGCCATTACAAAGACATGAAGATCACCATATGGAGATTTGCAACTGCAAGCCTCTTATGTAATCTCCTACACATTTACAATTCGAGGGGGGGAAGACTACCTGTTTTAACATCCATCCTTCCATTATCTGTACACCACTTAATCCTCACTAGGGGGCTGGAGTCTATCCCAGCTGACTCAGGGTGAAGACAGGGGACACCCTGGACAGGTCACCAGTCTATCACAGGGCTACACTTAGAGACAGACAACCAAGCACACTCACATTCACACCTACGGACAATTTAGAATCACCAATTAACCTCAACATGTTTTTGGACCTTGTGGGAGAAAGCCGGAGAACCCGGAGAGAACCCACGCTGCACGGGGAGAACATGCAAACTCCACGCAAACCGGCGACCTTCTAGCTGCGAGGCACCGGTGCTAACCACCGCTCCACCCTGCAGCCCCAGTTTTAACATAAATAGTGGAATTTAACTGTCAACAATACTCTGCAATGTTTCACATTTTAACCTCCAGGAATGAAAAGAGGCACAAAGACGAAACATGTCATTTATATTCTAATTATTTTACACACATTTTCCTGCAGAAACCACATTGGAGAGGACTGACATCACACATCAATCATCACTTTGCTCGTCACATTACTCTCTGAATGTAAATGAAGCATAAAGCAGTTTAGATTAGCCAACACATAATATACTGTATATCTGCAAACCACATTTGAACAGTCTTCAATTAGAGAGTGAGAACACTGTCCGGAGAGGCACAATATCAATAAATATCAATACAGCCTTTACAATATTTGTACATACAGTGTTATATTTATTCAGATTAAGGCAAAGCAGGCTGTGTGGAGTTAAATGAAGCCATCCGATAAAGACCAAAAAAAAAAAAATCCATGTTGAATTTGAAAAACTAAAATAATACACAAGTAGCTGCACAAAGCCTAGTTAAGATTGCATTGGAAACGCTTGTTACACACACAAGTACAAAGCATCCACTTTATTTATGAAACAACACACTCTATAAAACTATAAATATAGTTTTCAAGTGGTCTTTGTTCATGTGCCTCACTTACCTCCGTTACAAACAGTTGTAGGGAAAAACAGAACACTTCATAGATATATCCAGCAGCATCCTATACAAGCACTGTGTTACAGGTTCACTGTGTCGATATAAAATACAGCATTGACTAAAAGAAGTAAAAGATCGTTGTTTTAGCTAGTTTGGTCCCACTTACCCTCATAATACGCTGCTCCTGTGAAAAACTACAATAACCTGCAGCCGCCGTCAGTACAGCTGAACATGCACCTTTACAAAGTACAGAAAATGTTCCCATGCAATAGAAATGATGTGCTGAATGTTACATTTAGAAATACATCTTTTTTATTTTCCTTGGCATCATGTTCTTGTAAGATCAATACAGACAGACCATTCAATGTACGACTGACTCCTACAACCACAAGAAAGCAACACTGGAAAATGGCAATATGTGAAAGCTATAAACTATCTTGGCGATGCAGGTCTGAGTCACACAGACGTCACACATACAGCGAAGATATGAGTATTGCTGTCTCAGTTCCCCTTAGAATTACAAATTTAGCAGCATTTCACTTTTTACAGAGTGTACGCATCATGAGCTGGTCGTGATGCCCGATCAGGTTTGGTCACAAATAAAGTAAAGCCTGTGGTTTGAATGGGAATCTACTAGCAGACGGAGGTGCTTTTCTTTCTATGGCACTGTAGCCATGTTGAGGTTGTCGGCGTGGATGTCTGGGATGGTCCTCTCTGGTCTCAGACACACCGCCAACCTCTGTGGAAAACAAAGTATTTGTGGAGGTTAGCTTAATACAAATGTGTGCAAAAATGAATGTTTGGTGCAGGACTTTGTCTCACTCTTTATGCACTGACCTGTTTCAGAGAACCAGGGGTCCACACCAGCTTGTAGACCATGTAGATGGGGATCCACATGAAGGACGAGAAGCCGATGATGTACCCGACTGTGATGCTCCAATCCGGATACTTATAATCAAACAGCGTGAGGGGCGGCGCTTTCAGCATGGAGCTCACGATGATATACTGAGAAGGTACGTAACATTTCAATTTATATGTTAAAGCAGCTTTAATATTCTCACACAGGAGGGGTAATATAACTGTCACACTTTAACACATAACAAAAGAAATATATAATGGGAGTCAGTATAGTGTAATAATGTAAAAATGTCAACTGGAAGACAACTAAAGAGATGGATGCAAACCAGAGGCAAGGATATTAAACAGTATGTAGAGGTGGGAGACTGACATTACCCCAGTGTTTTGCAATATACTTGCTGCAAAAAAAAAAAGGAAGTTTTAAGGAAGATATTCCATGTAGAGGAGGGTTTAGTACACAGAGGGGGTTGAGGTTTTTGGTCTCCGCTGCCTTCAAAGGCCACCGATGCAGCCGTCTTTTGATCATAAGCTTTCACTCATATCTTAGTCTGCTACGGCCAATTGATCTCTGGATGACTTAAATGGATGATGTTTATTTGATCTTTTTTTTTTTTTTTTAAAGCTCTGCATGTTAAAGTATTCCCCGTGTGTGTAATTGAATGAAGGAGCTTATGTTTTTGTGTGTGATCTAAGTGTAGCTCTGCAGATTCATGTGTCGAGTGTTTACTGTAATGTTTTTAGTCTCTTACCGCCAGAAATGCTGGACTGATGGCAACCCAGCACACTTTCCAGAACATCCCTGGAGCTTTGCCCAGCATGGCCTGAACGTCATTGCTAAATCTTTTGATACCTGAAAGCAGCAAAAATAATAGATTTGATTCAAAGGGTCATCGAGATAAAAGAGACAGAAAGCAAGTCTTGTTTTTGTTTTTTGTTTTTTTTTTTACCATAGAACCAAGAAACTGCAATGGCCTCAAGGAAACCCACTGCAATAATGGAGCTTCCTACTCCGAATTCCTCCAGCAGCTTCACCACATAGGCTCCACCCTGCCAATTACATTTTACACTCACTTATAACACCAACAGTCATCACTCAGTTTCCCCAATTTGAGCAACACACGACAGATATCAGAATTTTACTTCACTGCAACGCATCCAAATGCACTTCACCTGTGCTTGAAGATAATTACTAGGACTTAATGATGGTTCTCTTGGGTAATTTAAAATGACTTACGTTTGTAAGGGTGCTTAGAGAGCCCAAAAAACAGACAACCACCAAGCCCAGAACAAAAAGTTCCCGTCTGTGAGAGAAATGATCGGGGTATTCATCCAACACAGCGGTGATGATCGCCTCCAGCCCCCCAAACTGAAGCACACAGACACATCATCGTTAGCAAATCTCTACAACTTCAGTTACATGAGAATCATCCTGGATGCTTTATGTCAGAGAAACACCTCACTAACTGCATCACTAAGCACCAGCCACCAAACACCACCAAGGCTAATTCTGATGTTAAGAGGATTTTATTTAGTCAGACTTAGTGATATTTAATGCTATTTAACGTATAATATGAAACTATTTATCACAGAAATGTTGTTGCATATCGTTCTTCATCACAATCATGTTCTCAAAGCATCCAGGCTTCACAGTTCGTACCGTGCTGTCCAGACCCAGCGTGATCATCATCACAAAAAAGATGATTGCAAAGAAGGTGGAGCCCATCATGTTCGCGATGGCCTCTGGGTAGGTGATGAAGAGTAAACTCGGTCCTGGAAGGCACGACAGCAGTGAATAGGATGAAATCGGGGCGTTTTATGTTATTCGTTTTGTAATTATCAAAGAATGATGTTAGAATTCTAGCAGTTCTGACCTTTATCCCTGGCTACATCCTCAACCTCGACCTTCCTCATCTCCGCCATGTAGCCGAGCACCGTGAAGATTACGAACCCCGACACGAAGCTGGTCAGACAGTTTACCAAGCTGGTCACGATGGCGTCACTGTAGAGGAGGAAATTAGACTCTGTTCAAGGACATGCAGCGCAATCATTGTCCCTCATGTTGCTTAAACTCATAAAAGTCCCATTTCTATCAAATAAACTGCATTACTCCAGTGTATTCCTGTCTGCAGTGGAAGCCAGTCAGCACTGACCTTTGTGACCTTTGTTTAATCAGTTCCCTTATGTGCTCTTTACAGCTTTGTTACATTCAGACTTGTAACCACATGCATCCTGCAATAACACTAATGAGGAAAACACAACGGACGGATCCATGATGTGGGATCACAAGAGGTGTAAAACTATCTCTGCAAACATTTACCAACGTAAAAAACCTTGAAGTAATTACCAAGTGTCAATCTACAGCTTTTTAAAGCAGATTTTCCTTTGACATGTCATGCCTTTATTTGGTAGTGACGGTGGAGACAAACAATAAAAGGGGGAACAAAGAGTAAAAGAATGAAACGCAGCAAAGGCGCCGAAAATAAAACCACTTTTCAAAGCGTATTCGCTCATGTGGTATTAACCCCTAACCACGCTGTCGGGTCGCCTCCAGAAATTAAAAAAAAAAAAGAAAATTCTCCATCTCCAGCAAAGATTATATGAAGAACTTTATTAAAATAAATAAATGTGTGTGTTGAAACAGACGCTCCAGGCAAACATTTGTAAATGTGAATTGTTTCTCCCAAAGCACCTTCCCACTTTATTATTCATTCCTGTCGAGCATTTCTTATTTACATCATGAAAAAAAACTAAAACAGATACATATATATATATAATACAATTATAAAATACATGTAACTGTTTTGTCTGTACCGAAACACTTGATCGCACTGAGGAATGGACACATTATGTTTTAGAAATGTGTTTGGAAAATGTTTGATGCTTCTCAGAGGAACAAACTGACTCATGCAGCATCCAGTTTCATTCACAATCTGTGTGTTTGCTACTACGGTTTCCACAAATGCCACTTTGCTCTACTAATCACATCAGTGACACACACCATTAGTCATACCAGGATTGTATATTTAATCTCTCCTGTGCGCAGCTTTGCATTTATATCCACCGTGTAGTATTCACCGCTCCTCCCACTAACATCACTGCCTTCCACAACAGTGTGCTAAAGGCATTAACAATAAATCCATAGAGTTCCCAAAGCTTGCTGTGCGCTAAAGTCATTCACCTCAAGCCTTAAATTCAAAAGGAGATTTTTTTTTTAAAATTTCACACTGTGGGCAGAAGTTCAGCCTTTCATTCAGACCATCTGTCTTTCCAAGCTGTGTTTAAACCACAAATCCATAAATCTGTGTATCACAGGTCGCTGGAGGTTCTTACCGATAGCAGTTATTAGTGAAGGGGTTGTAGCTGGAGAGAGCCAGGAGGACCCCGAACCCCGGCCCCAGAGAGAAGAAGATCTGAGCAGCAGCATCCACCCAAACCTTAAAAACAACAGACACAGAAAGAGTCAGCACACTGTCTGACTGTCACACTATCTTTATATTTATATACTGATTTCATACATTCTCAAATGAGCATTTATCTGATTTGTGTTCTGATCCCTCAGTAGCGTTTTGTCAGGCAGAGGGATTTTGTGTCAGTCGTATAGGAGTCCAGTTGCCACACAGCTGTACGCTGGGAGATCTGAAGAGCAGCTCGCATTCGGCATTAAAAAGAAGAGGCGAGCGTTGGATATCGGTGAGTGAGACAGAAAGGGAGGCCTTTGTTAATGGGCAGAAAATCTAAACCAATTATGCATCTTATTATCCTGCTCTGTAGCTTATTTATGCATCTCATTTCATCTCATCCATATTCCCCTCCAACCAAAGCACTCACACATGTTGAGCAAACAACAGCAGCGAGCCGGGGATGAAGACGAGGACGTTTCATACATCTAAAAGAAATATAGGCAGATTCTCAAGAGACTAACGGGTAGAACTGAACAACTGTACAGTATATATTAAAGTACTCATGCTCGGTAGATCCAGATGTGTTGCTTGATTCGACCAGTTCGGCAAGTTAAATACTCATCGCTGTCCCTCCTAAAGGTTGAACTCTGGAGAAAGTTTTTAGTTGTTTTAGCCATTTTCTGTCATCTTGCCTAATGTTGAGGTTCTGTTGGGAAATTCTGCACATTTTTGTTTTGGACTTTTGGAGACAAAAAAATAAAATAATGAGTATCTGATAAGAATATTTAATAAATGTCTGCCTCAAGTGTGTCCATCTGTCGAACTAGATTAGAACAGAACAGAACTAATTTAATTTTTTCATTTTTTTTCTTTCTTATGGTCATCTTACACATCAGGAGTGGCTTCAGATCACTGAAAAGTGATTCTGTAGCTTTGAAACTGATGTTAAAATGTGATTCTCAATGGAACAAAAACACAAAACACGATCCAGCTTTTCAGGATTGAATTCTAGCCAGCTGATCGACCAACTTTTCCCAACTCACACTGGTCTCCAGCAGCTTGTCCCACTGAGGTTTGAGGTAAAACACCACACCTCTCCAGGCTCCCGGCAGAGTGGCGCCTCGAATGAGCAGGATGAAAAGCACAATGTAGGGCAAGGTGGCGGTCACCCACACTACCTGGTGTGGAGGAGAGGGATAAATCAGACGGATGAGGCAGCAGGAGATCAAAGATATGTGATTAAAGTAAAGATAATAATGGACAATGACCTAAAGCAGCTGCAAAGTGTTACCTTCCCTGAAGTCTTCACGCCTTTCCAGAGGCTGAAATACACTATAGTGAAAATGAGGAAAAGGCAGAGCATCAGCTGCCAGCGAACGCCCCCGACATCCCTCAGCCCCGACGACTTGTGGATCTCCAGAACATTTCTCCTGTTAAAATAGGAACACATAAATCATCAGGCTTTCAGCACACACAGCACAAACTACAGTTCCCATACGACGTCACCAGCTGACAGTATTTGTGTAGAGTATTACTGTAAAGCTATTTATATATGCGGTTTCTGTTACTCACACTTACATGCACTTACGTGTAAAATTCCTCTGCTGGAGATCTGGAGGAATCCGTCCAGGTGACGTTGTCCCTGCCAAAGTAGTTGGTGCAGTTGGGGGTGTTCCACACGTTGTCACAGTTTGTCCAGGGCAGGATGCTGGAGAAGGAGGAGTAGAAGTAGAAGAGGGCCCAGGCGATGATGGTGTTGTAGTAGAAGGACACGTACAGAGCGATGATACATATGGCATATCCTAGCCCTGGAACAGAACACAGGGGAAACAGAGGAGGTTACTCAGGACGTGACACTATAAGGATCACAAACACAAGGTCATGTGTTGATTATCATCGATTTATTGTGCAGTTCAGTGCGAGGCCTTACCTTTGAAAATGGGACAGATGTGTTTCCATATGGATATGGCTCCGGTTCTGTGGAACTGTCCCAGTGCCAGCTCCATGTAAAAGAGCGGCACGCCACCGAAGATGGCCATCAATATGTAGGGGATAAGGAAAGCACCTGCACACAGATGCATGAGGGGAAATGTTTTTTAAAAATTATTATTCATGAAAGCCACGACGGCTGTTGTTCGGTGCAGCTGTTTCATTTGAAAATAACAAACTGAGCACATTAACACACTCAGGAAACTGACTGAAGACAGTTTGAATCTCAAATAAAATAGTGGCTTATGTTATATTTCAGTTCAAGGATTTTTTTTATTTCGTTTTAACAGAATCTCACTCACGTCGCAGACAAACAGAATTATAAAATGAAATGTCGATATAATCCTGTGTTATTCCCTTTATAGTCTTTTATCTTCTGCTTTTTCAGTTCTCTATTTTGTAATTGCCTCTTCTTCTTCTTCTTTTTATTTTTTACCCTCTTCAATGCATTTTTATGTCTTATGGTAAACAACTGAACTGCTTTGTTGTTGGAAGATGGAAGAATTACTACATTAATTCTGTTTTGTAACCAGCAGGCAGCAGTAATGTAATGACCTCTATGTAAAAGCATTGGGAAAAGGAAAACCTATTTATACCTAAATACATTTTAACTCAAGTGTGCAGAAAATGTTTTAAAAGTATAAATATTCGTTTTAAAAAAACATTTCTTCCATGAAAACGGATGTTCTCTCATGAATTCTCCTTCAATGCAGTAATAGTTTACAGACCAGCTACATCAGATGCAGACAGTTAGATTGATATCAAAGTGATGGATGCGCACTTCAGCACCATGGACAGTTTCTGGTGTCAGATGTGAAACGAACATTTAATTGATCTGAAGTCAAACCAATCAAGTTTTTTTCCCTCCATGTGGCTCCACTCTTCCCAAGTTACACAAATCCTGAATCGTGAAATAAACCTAGCGAAGAAAAAAAAACAAAAACTTGTGCACCACTCACCGCCTCCGTTTTGGTAACATATGTACGGAAACCTCCAAACATTCCCCAGGTCCACCGCAAAGCCAATGACCGACAAGAGAAAATCCATCTTTTTGCTCCATTTGTCCCTGGAGTCCGTCTGGGTGATGGCCGGCACCGGGACGGCGTTGTTGGAGCTGTAGCCCGGGTTCGGGGAGCCTTGGTGGGTCAGACTGCCGGCCATGACCGCTGAGTCCTGTCGGGGCACCGGACTGTGAAAAGTCAGCCAGAGGAGCAGCTCCACAGAGAGGAGGAGGAGGAGGAGGAGGAGGAGGTTTGAGCTGAGCTGATGACAGGCCGAGTGGGAGGAGTTGGTGGAGCTGCAGCGGACACTTGGGGATACCTGGATGCAACCAGGTCAGTGTGGATCCTGTTCTGTCCACTAAAACACCCCAACTCACTCAGAGCCACCTCTAAATCCGATGTGTTTTAGGTGATCAGTAACATCTTTCTTTACTGAAGCCCACCTGTTGTAGTTTTTTTTTGGGAGCAAATTACATTTGTGAGTCAAGCAGCAGCTGACTGGGTTGCAGATTATCTTAAAGTCTTTTTTCATTTCATCTGTATACGTTTTGTTTTTATAGCTGCTGTGTTTCATTCAAGAGCAACAGGTTGCTCAACTCAAAGCAACAGGTTGTTTATTAAAGTCTACACTGATGCTAGTGGCACCATGGTTCTTCATTTTGGCTGGAATCTGCTTCATTGCTGCAAGTCACATTCTCACAATCACAGACAGATGATTGACTTTTACTCCAGGATTTAGAGGAAAAAACTGACTAAAGTAAAGTCAGTACAGTACTGCAGTACTTTTACTGGATTATTTTCTTTCATATCATTGCATTCATGGGGAATTAATACGCTTTTTATCTGAAAAATATAGTTTCTAGTTCCAGACTGTATAATAAAATACACATAAGCTTAAAAAACAAGAAGTCAAAGTTCCTGAATAATCAAGTATCTGAATCCATTGAAAAAAAACCACATTAATCATTTCAAGACCTCAAATATTAGTCTTGTTAACTACAAGCCTAAAACTATGAGGTTAAAAAAAAGAAGCTCCACCTTGAGCTACAAGAGTAAAAATGCACAAATGAATCGCTGCCAATAACCTAATAATCAATCATAGGAAGCCGTTTTTCTGCAGAGTAAGTGCTTTTAAGTACCTATATTTAATTAATAATGATCATACTCCTGTATTTTTATTTAACATTTTGAATGGAAGGCTTAATTTGCAGTGTTTTTACAAAGTTTTATTAGATCCTATACTTGGGTAAAAGCTGCTTATTTCTCCTAACATGACCAGACATCAATTAAAGCCTTGATTGTATTCTTTATTATACGGGTTTCAGGTCGTTTTTTTATAAGGATGTTAAATTCTGAGATATTTCGTGATGAATCCGAGTTCTTACATGTTCGGAAACACATTAAAAACTGTGATTAATGGCCTTTGCAGCCTGTCAGGTGTCTAGATATTATCCCTACTTTCACAGTAGAAAGATGACCTTAAAGCAAAATAGATCTTAATTGTTTTTTAAAAGGTTAATTGTTAAAATAAATAGTAAGATAATTATGGTATCCAGATCGCAAACTACTCATTATCCTTCAATGGCAGTTACGTGACATTTGGAGCTTGTTATTTACGTAATTATAGTATGTAAAACGCTGTAGACCTTTGGCTTTACAGATGGTATATGGAGGCTTGAATTAGTGATTTTCAATGAGATTCATTGTTCTTTTAAAGAGAAATTGATATTTTAGGATTGACTGTGCACCACAGCAAATCAAGAGTAAACTAAATATGGTGATTAGAGTTGAGAAAATATCCTCATGGTGGCTGTTCTGGAGCTTTCAGTACATATTTTTTTCATCAGCACAAAGAGCCACAACACATTAGGAGACTGTATTATTTATTTTGTTCAGTTATTTTCAAGTCCTCATCCATGTTATCTTACAAGCTGATGCTAAAAGTTCATTGTTGTCTTTTGAACCAGCAGATGAGAGAACAATCAAAGCTTTAAATCATGTCCTCTAACATGATTCTATTGCTGACATTCAGGATGTTAGGTGTCTGGAGGAAATCTATATCTTTACTTCCATTTTCTCCATTCCTTGTAAAGTCAAGGTAAGTTGAAGTTAAGCCCTGCTCGTACATGCATTTTCAGCTCTGCCCACAAATTTTCTTCAGGATTGAGATCAGGGCTTTGTGATGGCCACTCCAAAACATTGACTTTGTTGTCCTGAAGCCACTTTGTAACTAATTTGGCGGTTTGCTTCGGGTCATTGTCCATTTGAAGACCCATTTGTGCCCAAGCTTTAACTTCCTGGCTGATGTCTTGAGATGTTACTTCAATATTTCCACATAATGTTCTTTCCTCATGATGCCATCTATTTTGTGAAGTGCACCAGTCCCTCCTGCAGCAAAACACTCCCACAACATGATGCTGCCACCCCCGTGCTTCACAGTTGGGATGGTGTTCTCAGGCTTGCAAGCTTCTTCCTCTCTGAGCAGCCTTTCAGCCCATGTCGGTACAGGACTGGTTTCACTGTGGATAGTGACTCTCTCTGACCAGCTTCAACAGCATCTTCACAAGGTCTTTTGCTTTTGTTCTGGGGTTGATTCGCACATTTCACATTAAAACACTTCATCTCTGGGACACAGAACCCGTCTCCTTCCTGAGCAGTATGATGGCTGGACATTCCCGTGGTGTTTATACTTGCATATAATTGTTTGAACAGATAAAACCTTCAGGCATCTGGAAATTGTACCCAAGGATGAACCAGACTTGTGGAGGTCCATGATTCTCACGTTGTCACAAAAGGAAGCAGTGTGTTTGGGCTGTGTCTTAAAATACATCCACAGGTGTGCCTCCAACTAACTTAAATGTTGTCAATGAACCAATCAAAAGCTTCCAAAGTCATGATGTCATCATCTGGGCTTTCCCAGATAGTGTGAAGGCATAGTAATCTTAGTGTAAACTTCTGACTTTCAAGAAAGTAATAAATAATTCTCTAAAAAATTGTCTTTGTCATTATTCTAGCAGGGCTGCAAGGTGGTGCAGTGGTTAGCACTGTTGCCTCGCAGTTGGAAGGTCGCCTGTTCGCATCCTGGTTAGGACACCCAGGATCTTCCTGTGTGACGTTTGCACGTTCTTCCTAGTGAGGATTAAGCGGTGTATAGATTATGGATGGATGAGTTATTCTAGCATTTAGCAAAAAAGAGTAATTTTGGTAATCCTGGCTGACATGAAACAGGAAAAGTTTAGTCTGATTTAATGTCAGACAGTGAAAAAAAAGGTGTTGTGTCTTTTTCTACAGTGTAAACTTCTGGTTTCAACTGTACATCCCAACAAAAGATGATAACAATCCATCGAATGCTGTTGCAGTGTAGAAGTGAATAATAAAATGCAATACAGTAAATAAAAGAATCTAAAGAAAAAAAAAAGGAAAACTAACAAACGAGCACAAGGGGTGAAAAGGTGAAGAGAATGTTTGAACCAATGAGCAGTCAGTCCATTTCTTCTAAAGGTTTGATACAGAACTCTATAAATAGCACCTAGAACCATCTTAGCTTCCTGATCCTATGTTAATATGGTTTGGTGAAGACAGCAAAATACAATCACAGCAGCTTAACTGCACTCATTAGGAAAACCTAATAAAAAGACTTTGTAATCAGATTCACCGCTTTTAGCACTGAGCAGTTGAAACGGCTACTAACTGGATATTCAGAGAGCCGCAGTCGTGCAGGTCTGCGAGCAGCGAGAGTGCATCAAACGAGGTTACTTTGGGAAATGGATATGACACAGAGACATCCAGCACCATCATAAAATTGTCACTTAAAAGCCAAAGTGGCAGCCAAACCGTCTGGCCTGGTGTCACATGATTGTTGTCTGGCTCCGTCACCTGAAGCTGTCATACGGGGAAATGCAGATGGTTTGTTTGATATCTGGTGTTGTTCCAGTTATTTTCTGTTAAACATGCACCAGAGGATAGATAGATAGATAGATAGATAGATAGATAGATAGATAGATAGATAGATAGATAGATAGATGGATAGATGGATAGATGGATAGATAGATAGATAGATAGATAGATAGATAGATAGATAGATAGATAGATGGATAGATGGATAGATAGATAGATAGATAGATAGATAGATAGATAGATAGATAGATAGATAGATAGATAGAGTCTTTTCATTGCCAGAGTTAGGATGGGGAAGACTAAACAATTAGCTGGCGGGGGAAGAAGCTGTGGTTGTTCAGTCGAGGTGCAGGGGCCCCTGAGGGCCAAAACAATAACAACATAACAACAAACCAGCACTGGCCTTCTCTAACATACAATCCTGTCAATCTGCATTGACACACATGGGCAGAAGAACATCAGACTGACAGGAGCCTCTATCACATGCCCTGGTGCCCGTTACAGCACGTCGACTCTAATCACACATGGACATGTGCATGTTGGCCCCGGCCCCGAGACGCTGCTGACAGACATGGATATGACACAGCATTGTTAGCTCTAAAGCCGGGGTTGGTTTGAAATACCTTTGAATTGTTGTCATTTGGAAGGTAATTCATTCCCCTGCATTCAGCTTGTATCTCCAGAAAGCTTTTTGATCTGTTTCCTGTATAACTTTTTAAATTATGTATATGTTTTGTACGCGAACTAGAGCCTCTGTTATGTATTGTTTGAATTAACTGTGTTTCATTGCAATTGCAAGGAGGGATTTTGTTTTTCAATCTCCTGCTCACTCATAAGAGCATCACTTCAGTGTTTGAGAGCAGAACACTGATTTGTCTCTTGGATGTAACTGATGTATTAAGACAAACAAACACACGCGCGTTAATGTTGGTTCTCCTTTGACAAGTAGGCAAAGGCTAGTTGCCGAGCAGCTCTGGTGTGCTGTTTACTCAGGCAGAAGTCCTGGTATGACATTTAACAAGACATGCTATTACCTCAAATTATCTAAAGCCACTGCAAGGTGTGAGTCATGCCAGCGAGGGAATCCTGTGTTGAAGACGTGGAAAAACAGAGGGAGAAAAGAGAGTCCAGCCCCCTGTCATCTCTTGTTATCACTCCATGTTTTCACCACCTGATCCACCTGACAGCTCAGTGCTCCAGGCTGAACTGGACTTATGGCCTCGACACCTCCCACTCCACAATAGTTCACTGGAGCCTTCCAAC